TCCATACTGCACAAAATTGGTGCATCTAACTGGGTTCCCACCAACCACAAATCCACCATTTCCACAAGTTTGGGAAGATTTATCTATGTTGTTGGAACCAGAACAAACTTTGATTATGGCAAGTACATATTTGATCAAACATTGAAACATGTTGGAAGCTGTGCTATTAAAGGCCCTATTGCTTTTTCCCTCTCTCCTGTGTGGTATAATCACTGATCAGTATCCTGATATTCTGGTTGAAAAAGACTTTGTATGCAAAAGAGCCCCTGCACTTGGTTTGCACTATAAGCTGTTTCAGGGAACACATGTCCCTGACATTGTTATGACATCTGCTGAGACATCAAATGTCAAAACTCATTCCAAGAAAACCGATGTTATAGCTGTGCTAAAAGAAACCTGCAGAGAGCTTGATACAAGAAAAAAGACTCTTGAAGAGCTGATTGCTAGACTAGAACAGGAGGAGAATGAAGAACAAATAAGGGAAGAGGATGCTGATGAAGACCAGCATCATGCTGAAAATAGTGCTTCCTCAGGGGATGACATTGCCTGAAGGTCAGTGTTTGCTGAAAAGATTGCTGCTGGAACTTGTTGCTGCCAAATGACTTCTTATTATTTCTGTGCCTTTTTTTAATTTCCTTTTGGATGACTGTATAACTTAAAAGTACAAGTATCTTTGGCCTCTTTATGGCTAAAAAGGGGGAGAAGAAATTGTGATAAATTGTGATAATTTTGGTAGATTTAGATATTGGTAGCTGTTATTAAAAATTTTGATGCTTTCTAATCTCTGATTGTTTAGGGGTTTTAGCCAAAAATTTGCTAAAGGGGGAGTTTGTAAGTGTTTGTTTGTTGGCATTTTTTTGGTAAAACCAGATTTACGAATGTCATGACTGATGTCATAACATTCTGGGATAAAGGTACATTCTGCAGAAAAGAATGTTCTACAGGAACTACTCAGTATGAGTGATTATCATGATCATTAAGCTATGATCATATATATTTAATTCTACCAAAATCAGTGAGCAAGATACATGATGTCATAACCAATGTTAAGACATCCTGTACTGATCAAGTTGTTGTGCAGATTTATTATTCCTGAGATTTTTCAGGAAACTGGTGTGCTGCTCTGTGTTGAAGAAGTATTGTCCAGATCAGCTGCTCATGTGGACATTAGGTTAACCTTACTTAACCCTAATTTGTTATGAAAAATCCCTAGACCAAGTCTTTAGGTTAACTTTAGTTAACCCTAGCTATTTTCATGGAAGCCCTAAATGAGGAATAGTCTGCTTATATATTTCTCACGAAGCCTAATGGACTAAAATACTTTTTGACAGAAGATCGATAAGGGATTGTATAGTTGTAACTACTGTGAGCCAAGCAATTATAGTTTTTGATAAGTGACTTGGAGTAGGATTTGATTGTAAGGGTTGTTTATCACTATAAGCTTTGAAGCACAAGTGATTGTGTCTCTTGGTTAAAGCTTTGAAGCAAAATCAAGTTAGGGTTGTTTATCACTCAAAGCTTTGAAGCACGAGTGATTGTGTCTCTTGATTAAAGCTTTGAAGCAAAATCAAGTGTGTGTATTGAAGAATGTCTTCATAATCTCAGTAATCAATAGTTTAGTATCAATGCTGTGATTGAGGGGGGGTGAGTAGGAACTCAGGTTTAAGTTGAACTTAGATTGAAGTTGCATTGGGTAGGTCTTAAGTGAAGGAGATAAACTGGTTGGTTTATTCCTAAATTAATATCTCTTATAGTGAATTTCCTCCCTGGCTTGGTAGCCCCCAGAGTAGGTGTCGTTACACACTGAGATGGGTTAACAATTGATTGTGTTCTTTACTGTTTTTAAATTACTGTCTTGAAGTGTGTATAAGTTTGTCAGATACGGTGTCATAGCATTCACTGTGACATTAAGTATCTGTTGCCAGAATTTCAGTTTTTGTACTATGACACCCAATATGATACCTTCGAAAGAGTGTTCCAAAGACCCATTCGAATGACACACGTTGGTGGCCCATTCAAAGGAGGCAACGAAAGACTATTCGAAAGACACTCAAAAAGTCCATTCGAAGGAGGCCATCAAAGCCATTCGAAGGAGCTGAATAAGAGCCATTTGAATGAGGCCATCAGAGCCAGTCAAAGGAGGTCACAAGAGCCATTCGAAGGAGAGCATTCGAAAGTCCAATGTCCACATACATTCAAAATTCAAAAAAGGACAAGATCTCATGTTTTTGGCCAAAGTTACAAATTCTCATTCGTGGCTTTCAAACACATAATCAAGGCTGTTTAAACCTTTGCCTTCTTGTCCCCTCTACCGCCTCTATATAAAGAGATCACAAGTGTTGCATCAGACGAAAAGATTGCCTAGAAAAAGAGAGTACTCACGCCACCATAGAAAGCATCAAAATTCTAATTAGTTTTCTTTGCAGGCACCCTCAATCTAGACAAAGGATATATTTGTGTTCTTGAGATTCCCAAGAATCTGTTCCAAGCCAAGCCACACTCAGATCGAAGCATCTCCAACTGGTAAGGATTTACCCAAATCAAAACTGCATTTCTAAGTCTTTTAAATACATATTATTGGTATATATGTGTGACTTAATCATGAAATCCCATTAAACATAAGGACATTATTCTTGAAATATCTATAGTTAAGCTTTATTGTGAAGTGAGATAACATTAAAATATTGAGACTATCATATGGATAGGTTGATGATCACATCTCGTGGATCATAGAAAAAAATTACCAAGTCTTCACATAGGTGTGGATTAGAAATAATATTTATATTGGATTTACCCACCATGATAATACTACATAAAATGTTATGCAAGTGTCATAAGTTATTCTCAAGGTGATAGTGGTGTATACCACTCTTTGATCTGAAAACCACTATGAGCATTATAGATGGAGTCGAGTACATTATTGTTGTTCCATTCTGGAACTAGAAATAGAGAGATACAAAAGTTGTGGCAGAGTAGAGCTTGTGATGCGACGGAGTGGGGGTATACCTGCAAAGTTAGCACTCCGACCCTGGAGTCAAATTGTTTTATCTTTTGCCCTTTTACTTTTATAAATCAGTTTCAACCCAAAAATATTCAAACAATTATCAAGAGGCATCTATCGACAGGAACTGAGGTCGACGAAGCAAGGATTTATATTGGTGGGATCAATTATCAACGTACAAGTCAACGAGAACGTCAGAAAATTCAAACAGTTTTCCACGAAGCCCAACGTGGACTAGTAACCGTCAACGATTACATATTTAGGACTTTTATTTAAGCAAATTTTTGCATTTGCGTTATAGGTGACATTTCTTCATATTTAATAACAATAAACTCAAAGTACTCGCATCTAAGAGAGAAACGAGTTCAAATTTAACAATGTATGAATGCTTTCACATCTAAATTCATAGTAATTTCCAGCTTTTGCAAGTCTTGTCTTTAATCTATCTGCTTTTGCAATTGTTTTATCTTTTGCCCTTTTACCTTTTATAAACTAGTTTAGTGAGACTTTATTTCCTAGATAATTTTTTTTCTCTTTTTATTTTACTACTTGCAAAAAATATATTTATTTTATAATAATAATAATTATTTTAACATAGTTTATTTTTTCACTATCTCATATATTTTTAATCAATATTTTAAAAATCTAACCGGAGAAAGAACCGTTAAAACATGCAAGTGAATGCTCAATTGGTTCAACCTCTTAAACTGCGGTTGAACCATATATTAAATTTAAAATAATAAAATAAATAAATATATTTTTAAACATCTTAATAAAATTAATTTATATCATAATTTATAAAATGAAATTCTCAAATAAATATGATATTGATAAACAAGCATACAAAAGAAGAATAATGCAATATAAGGCGCATAACAAATCAGAAAATTAGTTAAAGACTAATATTTATATATTTATCCTAATTTTTCACATCTCTGCCAAGATCAACATCAATTACCCCATGTCCACAAATATTACATTATTTCTTCCGTTTCTATTTCCATTTACTTTGTCTCATATCTTCCAAATTTATTCTTTATTTGTCATCTATACAATTTTAAATATTTGCTATAATTCATTTGTTAGATTTAAACAAAGAAATAAAATGAAGTAAAACATAAAAAAATATTATATTTGATTTTTAGAACCGTCTAGTTCACTAAAATTGGTCCTGATTTTACGATTATTTTGTTTTTTCGCGATTGAAGTAATTTGTTAGATTTAAACAAAGAAATAAAATGAAGTAACACATAAAAAGTATTATCTTTGATTTTTTGAACCCTCTAGTTCACCAAAATCAATCCCGGTTTTACAATTATTTTTATTTTTCACGATTGAAGTAATTTTATCTTAATTTTACCGACCTAACTATTTATTGATCAAAATCAAATCGAATTAAACAATAGTTTATAGTTGAACCAATTCAACCGGCTAGTTGAATCCAGTTTTTAAAACATTATTTTTATCGTAATTGAGACTATTATTATTTTGTATTTTAAAAAATATAGTAATTTATTTCAACTTTTATGTTGGGCCATTTGAATATATGGGCAATACTACCCGGGTTTCGTTCGCACAAACTAGGGTTTTGTAACCGCAGGACTCTTTCTTTCGTTCTCTCCTTTATAAACACCTTCACATCTTTACTCTCATATTATAACTTACATTGAGTTATATGTTTCTTTCGATTTAGGGTTTGGCGAATTTCTTAGGGTTTCAATAATGTCTTCAAATTGTGCGTCAAAATACTGATTACCACTGCTCGTAATCCTGTGAGCTTTGAGTATGAGCTGACGCCAAAGCGATTTCTCTCTGCAATCTATTTTGATCTGTTTTCTGTTTGGTTAACTCAGTTCCATTGCAGATAGGAAAATCTTTCACCATGTTAACAATCCTCTAATTTTTACTTAATTTTTTTTTTGCTAGGGATTATGTTATTTTGATGTGTATGCTTTGTGCTGTGAAATTGATAAATTGGATGTGATGATTATTTCCCCAGATGATCGAAACTGAACATACTGTGCGATTTTTGTTTCTCTTTAGAGAAATCAAGCCAAATAATCTGATCCATTGTTACAATTTGAGTTATATTTTTAAGTTATTATGGAATTACATTATTGAAAAACTTGATCAATTAATGTCTAGGTTTTGTTATAATTTTCTTATTGGGTGTGATGATGATTTCCCCAGATGATCGAAGCTGAAAAAACTGTGCGAATTTGTTTCTCTTTAGAGAAATCAAGCCAAATAATCTGACCCAACTTTTATCTATTTGTGTGGTTATATGTGTTTTCTATAGGTATGATTTAATGCTTTATTTATTTTACTAAATATGTTGGATTTGATGATTATTTCCCCAGATGATCGAAGCTGAACATAGTGTGCGAATTTGTTTCTCTTTGGAGAAATCAAGCCAAATAATCTGATCCATATAAATTGAATTGTTTCTCTTATAATAATCAATATGGAGGATAAGCAATGTATATATGAAACTAGAATGTTAAATTTTAGTAATGATTATATACAATTGCCCTTGACAATCTCCAGATATCAAATAACAGATGTTTAATGCTTGTTCTACTTTCTGTGTGGATAGCAAGTTTGGCTTGTCTTTTACATTTATTTATCTGAAATGATTGCACATGCTTTCCTTATGGTAATAGTTATAATTATGTACACAAGATTCTTGAATTAAATGTTTATTCTCCAACATGTAATGGGAATTTTATTCGATTGTATCTATGTTTTGAAGATTTATTCAAGATTTTACTCGGTTTATGGATTGTTTGCTAAGATGAATTTCCAACATCAGAAGTGTTTTTTGTATTCTATGTTGAAAATGGATCTACATTACCAAGAAATGTGGAGAAGTGTAGTTATTTGTTTTGTTAGGGATGCATTGGTATCTACCTTTATATTCAGGTGTTAAATGTAAATATAAGTTTTGTTTCATTATTAAAAGTTATTGCCAAGATACTTTTAATCATCTAGTGGTTTCTAAACCCAATCGTGTATACATTAAACCCAAATATTTGTTATCTTAGACCATTTACAATGGTTGGTTGAAAAACTCAACACCCACTTTTTCAACTCCCAACACTCCACATCATTTTCTCTTTCTTCCATTTAATAACTCAACACTCATTCAACTTTTACCCTCTCCAATGGTTTTTCACTCAATACCCTACCCCACCACTTTTTATTTTCATATTCTTATTTAAATTTTATTTTTATTTTTATGATTACATAAAATTACAATTATCGATTAAAATTAAATTAAAATAATAAATACTTAATAATTTATTTTTTAATTTTTTGTAATAAAAACAAAATTTATTTAAATAATTGGATACGATACAAATCATCTTAAATTAATTTAAAATACAACACACAATTAACGTAATTAGTACGTTACAAATAATTTAAAATGCAATACAACACACAAGTAACGTAATTAGTACGATACAAATAATTTAAAATGCAATACAACACACAAATAATTCAATCACGGAACATTCCAAACTTTGTCCATATGTGCTTCACTAGATCGGCTTGCAATTCTTGATGAATATTTGGATCACGGAACTCTGATCTAGCACGCACATGATTTGCAAAAGCGGGTAACACCTCGGTCGAGTATGGTTGTGGTGCACTAGATCCACTTTCCCCAGACTGCTCAAAATCGGTCCAACGTTGAAAATATGAATCTCGTTCATCCTCAACAATCATATTATGTAATATGATGCATGACCTCATGATGATACCCAAATCAGCTATGTCCCACAAGCGAGCTGGTTCACGGATGATTTTAAATCGAGCTTGGAGCACTCCAAATGCACGTTCGATGTCCTTCCGACATCCCTCCTGAAATTTTGCAAATAATTTATCGGGTTCACTTTGAGGAAGTCTAATCGATTTGACGAAAGTTGGATAAGAAGGGTAGATACCATCAGCTAGATAGTATGCCATATTATATGGACGTTGATTCACAAAGAAATTCACACTTGGAGCCTTTCCCTGTTCCACGTCATCAAACACTGGTGACCGGTCTAAAACGTTTATATCGTTCAACGTTCCCGGACATCCAAAAAAGGCATGCCAGATCCATAGGTCATGAGATGCAACTGCTTCAAGAATAACTGTGGTGGTTCCCTTATCCCCTCTAGTAAATTGTCCTTCCCATGCTTTAGGACAATTTTTCCACTCCCAGTGCATGCAGTCAATACTCCCAATCATCCCTGGGAACCCCCGCATTTCACTAACATGCAGTATTCTTTGCAGGTCATCTTGGGTTGGTGCTCTCAGATACACTTGCTCGTACAAGCGTATGATTCCTTTACAGAATCGACGTAAGCACTCCAATGTTGTAGTACCTCCTATTTTGATGTACTCATCGACCGCATCTGCTGCCACACCATATGCTAACATTCGCATTGCTGTGGTACATTTTGCTAAGGGTGATATACCTTCTTTATTGGCTGCATCAACTCGCTGGGTGAAGTAGTTATCACTACTTGAAAGGTCCCCAACGATTCGAAGGAAAACATTTTTTTTCATCCGGTACATAATTGGAGGTAGATTGGATGGGATTTGGGATATTGGTACATAAATGGATGTATGAGTCCCTATATATAAATGGATGTGGGTGGTGGACCACTGACGGATTCGAAATAATTTATTGTATATCCTTAATTATCAGATAAGGAATATATTCGAATTGGGTGGTGGACCACTGACGAATTCGAAATAATTTATTGTATATAGTTAATTATCAGATAAGGAATAGATTCGAATTGGGTGGTGGACCACTGACGGATTCGAAATAATTTATTGTATATAGTTAATTATCAGATAAGGAATAGATTCGAATTGGGTGGTGGACCACTGACGGATTCGAAATAATTTATTGTATATAGTTAATTATCAGATAAGGAATAGATTCGAATTGGGTGGCGGACCACTGACGGATTCGAAATAATTTATTGTATAGAGTTAATTATCAGATAAGGAATAATTAAAGCAAACACTACACTGGCATATTGAAACAACAATAATTAAAGCAAACACTACACTGGCATATTGAAACAACAATAATTAAAGCAAACACTACACTGGCATATTGAAACAACAATAATTAAAGCAAACACAACACTGACAAATACTTCATTGAAATTAATTATCAAACAGTTCTGCCTCCAACTTTTTCAACAGCTGGTTCTTCCGGTCATCTAGATGCTCTTCGGAAGTTAGCTTTAGATACATCTTCATTTTCTTGGTTTTAGTCTTCTCCAAGGCTATATTGTTAGCCTGCTGTTGCATCAACGCTATGTTGTCCAATCGTTCAAGCTCTTTCGTCTTGAATTCTTTGTATTCAGCCCATTCTTTGTCCACCACCTCCGAGGCATATTCCTTGCTTTTCTTTTTACCCTTTTTTTTAGCTGCCTCCCTTCCTATAGGACGAGCACTGGATTCTACAGTGTTTGAGCCACATGCATCACTCTCGCGAGATCTCTTAGATCCACTACTTCCTGAGCCAATATTTCCTCCTACTTGACTACCATAACGTGGTTGATCATGGAGAGCGTGCCATTCTTCCATTAAAGTGAATTTAACATTCTTCCCACATGCATATAATTCCTGCGCTTTTGCCAAAACATCATTCTCCGACCAACCACTTCCTTGCATACGCTTAGCGCCATCATAAGCGCCAATCCATTTACCCAACACTTTGTTCATATAATTAAAACGGTTTCGGCATGCAGGTCCATCACGCGGAGGATCGAATGAGCAATGCTCATTACAATACTCAGCAATTTTACCCCAATATGTTTCACCTTTCTGGTTTCTCCCGACAACACTGCTTGTTCCAAATTTAATCCACCCACTAATTAGAACCAAATTTTGTTCAGTGTTCCATGCTGGTTGCTGAGTTTTCCTGCTCTTAGGAGTTGAATCCTCTGAATTCGGACCGACTTCATTAGAAACAATCATGCCACCAATAGTTAGTTGTGTTGAAAACTCGGGAAATTCAGGTACACCACCACTTGGAAAATTTGCATTCGCCATTGTCACATAACCATTAAACGGGGGTGTTTGAGATGGATTTCTCGGCATAGATCCATAATATGTTTGAAAGTTTGGAACAGAGGATGTCTGGTTGAAATTTGGTGGAAAACCAAAATTAGGTATGTTTTGAGGATGTTGGTTGGAAAATTGATTTGGATTTTGATAATAGTTGGGATTTTGATAATTGTTGGGATTTGGAAAATTGTTGGGATTTTGGTTAAATGGAAAATTAGCAGAATTTTGAGTGTTAAAATGATTATTGGGATCCATTTCACTAAAAAAAGACACTTAACTTCAAAATAAACACTAATAATAAAATTAAGATAGTGAAAAACTTAGTTTTTTTTTCTGTGTCCAAATCAAATGAACCAAGTCTCTATTTAAAGAGAAAAAAAAATCATGAATTTTGGTAAAAAAAAAAAAAAAATTTAATTTGGAACGAAATAATTGAGTTCAAAGTATTAAATGGATAAAAATCTGGTCAGCCAATCAAGCACAGCCACGTGGCTGCACTTATCCCTTTTCTCTTTCTCTCTCCGCGTGGATTAAGACCCACTCTCACCCCCAGCGAGTGGGCTACACGCGCCTGGCCCAGACCAATGAGGCGCTGCCACGTCATGCCCTTGGTCAGCTTCAATTGTGTTGAGTTTTCTCAACACCTCTCTCTTCCAACACACACTCAACACCTCTCTCAACACCCATTGGAGGAGATTTTGCATGTTGAGTTCAAACTCAACATACCCATTGCACATGGTCTTAGACAATAGTCCCTTACACATTTTCATTTGTCATATTATTATTATAATTGTTAAATGATGGTATTAAACATTAGGAAATTCTTACAACCATAAGAAGTTTTACATCACAATTTTAATTAATTACAACTATTTTATAAATTCAGTTAAATAAAGAAATAAAAATATCAATAAATTTAATTTATCCTTAAATTCTTTTTTTTCTCCATTTCAATTAGTTTTTTTCCCGTACGTTTGAGTAATCTACAACGGTTAATTACATTTTCTTCTTAAATTTGCAACTGTTCCAAAAGAAAAAAAAACAATGTTCAATAAGAGGATATTAATGTTTTTATATTGTAAATTACGTTACATTAGTGGTATCAGAGAAGGTCGATCCGTCCGACCAAGTTGTCTAATATTGTTTGTTCCTTAGTGCACGACAAGTGTGTGAAACTCTGTCGGTACTTGTTTGCCTTAATTGCAGGAAGTTGGTTGAAGATAAGTGGGGGAAAAGCTTTGCTTCTCGGATATATTCAATTGAAAGGTGTTGGTTCGGTGTGCTGCCGACAATGACAATACAAGAATTATTAGAGTCTTGTTGTTAACGAATTTGAAGATGACTTAGATTCAAGGTCTTGTTGTTAGTCGAGTTAGAGCGCCTTGAGAGAAATTGATCAGACATTATTGGTGCTTACTTCTCGAAGAATGAAGATCGATGTAATATTTGTTGATTTACGAAGCAAGTGTAAGATATCGATCTTTGAATAATGATGGAGTAATAAAGTTGTTGTAACTTTTGTGTTGGGATCACATAAGTGATTGTCGTAAGTAGTTGACGTTGATAAGTAGTTGTGAATCGCGAGTCTGATTCGAAACTTGGAGGAGTGAGTAGCGTTGCAAAAAGAATTGTTGCCCTAGTGTTTTGGAACCTGAACTTTGGCGAAGGAATGCATCTCTCGAGTTATAAGAAGTTTGGGAGCACGGGATATGTTAAGAGTTGTTTGGAATATGTCTAAGTTGAAGACAAATGAGTTTCAGAGTGGAATTTTCGTAAGTGAATTGCAGGAAACTGCATAATTATTGTGGGACTTCGAAAATTCACAACTAGAGTTTCGGGCATCCGATA